ATAGGCCCATTGTCTGCCGACCCTATATATGATCTTGGATACACTCTCCATTTAGACATACCTAATTGTTTAGCTTGTTCACCTATCTATCCGTCCCTATACCCATGTTTGCTTTCACTGACAACTCAGTACTGTATATGCAAAAGGCAAAGACCATACTCTTAATAACAAGGGGACTAGATTCTTAAGTTCTCTGATCAACTTAACACATCTATTCGATTAGAAAACTATTTTTCAGAATATAAAAATAATACACGTTCATCATAGAAAATTTAGACTGTTGGGAGAACAAAAGTAAGATTTAAAAATCACACTTACTTTCTAATCAGCTGGCTGTAAGCACTATTTACATTTTGGTATACTTCTTTCACTGTTTTACATGGGTTGTATAAAAGTGGCTGACCACACTACTTGTTGTTGTTAGACGCCACATTGTTGACATTTCTTGAGATTACTGATAAACTGGCTCCAGCCTCACCTTTGTGGCCTTAGAAATGGATCCGTAATCTGTATTTGGCTCTCTGGGACATCTGTGGTTTGACAATGACCAATCGTGCTTCCTTTCATCACACACAAAAACCCCAAAAAACCAAAAACTCACTGCTGTCCAGTCGATTCTGACTCATAGCAACTCCTCCTTGGGTTTTCTAGGAGGTATCTCTATGGAAGTAGATTGCTCAATCTTCCTTCCAAGGAGTGGCTGGTGGGTTTGAACCGCCAGCCTTCTGGTTAGCGGTCAAGTGCCTTAGGCACTACACCAGGAGCACTCCCAGAGGATTGCTGGTCTCACTCTACCTGCCCTGGCTCTTTCTGATCTGCACACCTTAGTAACGCAGCCAGGCCAGAGCATGGCTGTCCCCAGCAAGGCGTTAGTCCTTGTAGCTGCTTCCTGGGTAATAATCAGCAAAAAAGAGGTGGATGGTATATCCAAACCCAACTCTTTTGAGTCAGTAGATGCTGACTCATGGTGACCCCTCTATGTTACAGAGTGGAACAGCTCCATAAGGTTGTCTTGGCTACAATCTTTACAAAAGTCCCTAGGTGGTATAAATGATATGCACCCAACTACTAACCTGAAGGTTGGCAGTTCAAAACCCACACAACAGTGCAGTGGAAGAAAGGCCTGGTGATTTTGCTTCCATTAAATTATAGCCAGGAAAACCTTATGAAGCAATTCTACTCTGCAACACATGGAGTGGTCATGGGTCAGAATACACTCAGGCAATGGTTGTTTGTTTGTTTGTTTGTTTTAATCTGTATGGCAGCAGATCACCAGTCCTTTCTTCTGTATTCCACTGGGTGGGTTCAAACCTCTAACCTTTAGGTTAGTCAAAACTCACTGCCATTGAGTCGGGTCCGACTCATAGCAACCCCTCCTTGGGTTTCTGAGGTGGTATCTCTACGGAAGTAGATTGCCCAGTTTTCCTTCCAAGGAGTGGCTGGTGGGTTTGAACTGCCAGCCTTCTGTTTAGCAGTCAAATGCCTTAGGCAGTATGCTACCAGTCGAGTGCAAACCACTTGCAACACCCAGAGACCTTGTGGTGGTATAGGAGTCGATTCTGACTCATAGCAACCCTACAGTGTAGAACTGCCCCACAGGGTTTCCAAGGCTTTAAGTCTGTACAGAAGCAGACTGACACATCTTTCTCGCACAAACCACCAACTTTTCAGATAACAGCTGAGTGCT